AAATCTTAGAATGAACAGGTTTCTCTTCTTCTTTGAGATATACCGTAAAATTGAATGTTGCCAAGTCGGGAACCTCGGCTGTGGCTGTCACTATTTATATTATAGTGTTCTTTGTCATGTAAGATATTTGTTGCTAATGATAGATGACATATCTTTGATTTGTCCCATTCAAAATGATTTCTTATACCGTGAAACCTGTCCTTACCGAATCTTGCATAAACCGAAAACCTGTCTAAACCAAATATGCTCTTCAGTCCAGTCATATCAAATTTTATCTGTTGTGAACCTGATTAAACCGAACATCTGCCAAAACCGAATAAACTCTAAAGTCCCGAAGAGGTTCAGTTTATACAGGTTTCACTGTATATAAGTTTCTTGACTATAGGTGTGGTTGAGTGATTGATTGATTGTTGGTTGCTTAACGTCCAGTGGCAAATATTTCATGCATATTCAGGACGAGAACAAGTTCACAATAAATACAATAGGTAGGTTCTGTAATAGATTAAGGGATTAAGGTCGGAGAAATTTAGACTGCCACGGGAAATGAGGGTATATTGGATAGGGACAGAAATTTAGCCTTGCAACAGGTCACCTACGGACCCCTCAAAGAGTTGTTGCAAGGGTTCTTAACGTGCAAAGAGCGTGGCACTCTCTTTACACGAGGCATCGGATTTAAAGTCCCCATTCTGACCGGACGTGGCTGCAAATTTGTACATCCCGCACAGCCAAACGGACGCCCCACTTTAGCACGGGTTTTACTGCCGGTCGGAGGAAGACCAATGGTGACCATACTTCTATTCCCCAGTCACCCTTGGGGGCTTGAGTGATTGACATATTGAATATACTGTTTATTGCTGCAGACCGTATATTGACCTCTAGGTGTCTATTGTTTTTTTGTGTTGTTGCGTCACTGTCTCATTGACGTTTAACCAACAATTTCTTTTTATTCTTAAAAAAAGTATGCATGAACCTTACCAAATCATTGTTGATTCAAAAGTACTAGTACTATATACCCTAATGATTACTTTGGTGTACATGTATGGTCAGTTTGGTCTTTTCCTATCCGGCACCCCTAAGAGTGATTGGGGAATAGAAATATGGTCAATCTTGGTCTTATTCCAACCGGCAGTGAAACCTTTGCCAAAGTTGGGTGTCCGTTATGCTGTGCGGGATGTATAAATACTCAGCCACGTCCGGTCAGATGCCTAGTGTAGAGAGAAAGCCACGCTCTCTATTCGTTAAGGACCCTTGCAACAACTCTTTTGAGGTCTGTAGGTGACCTGCTACAAGATAAAATTGCTATTTCTATACAATATACCCTAATTTTCCATGAGCAGTCCAAATTTCCCGACCTTCACCCCGGACGGCCCCTATTACATGACCTACCTTTTTTATGTAATGTTTATTTGTTCTCGTCCTGAACATTCATGAAATATGTGCCACTGGACGTTAAGGAACCAACATATAATCAATCCTATCTGGTAGTATAAATACCCATGCTAAAGAGGTAACCGTGTGGCTGTGTGGGATTCTTATAGCTATGGTTTGTCGAAACGCCTTTTGTACAATGCAGCATACATTGTCTGCACGTTAAAACACTCTTAGAGGTGTCCGTAGATGGCATTTTGCATTGCCAAATGTCTGTTCTTTTTTCAAAATGCCCTCTTTGCAAGTGGTAGTATTGATTTCCCGCTATGTATCCCGGGTGACCAACTGTGCAGAATCAAACTTTTTATGTGTATTGTTAAAATTTTCCTGTCCTATATATGCATTATATTTAAATATCTAAAGGAGAAAATAAACTCTTTCATGAAATATTTGTCACTGGACGCTAGGCAAACCTTAACCATTTATAACAATTGAATGTTATACGTCGTCAAATCGGTATCAGAATGTGAATCAAGGCTATTTGACCGAATTAAAACTCGACTCATTTTTCAAAGATTCGATAATAAAAAAGTTATTAAAAACGCCGGAGTATCATAAACATCTGCGTACAATTAAGCACAATAACAGATATGAGGATAAGGATGGGGGTAAGTAATTTCTGTATGTTATTTAAAGTTTTATGGCATTTTTCATCTTTAAAAACAATGCGTATTCTGTAAATTTTTCATGAATATGATTTTACTGTTGACTTTTCTGTAATTATATGATTTCTTTATTCTGTATATCATTCATTTCTGTTATCAGTATTTTAATGACTTATTCTTAATTTGCCACTATCATTATTTTATACTTTCACACCCCATTATTTTCTCTTCTTTAATTTTTTTGCTTATTTTTCTCTATTCATTATTTATTTTTGCCATTATTCTCTATTTTGTAAACCCCATTCAGACCCTCAGATACGAAATGACCGATTTACCTAAACATTGAAGTTCGTACCTGGTTGTAGACAAACAACGTGAGTGGGATAAAAAAAAACATCCAGTTCTGTCCATTCAATACGACCCAAAGCTAATTTGAAGACTAATACTTAGTAAACAAGGCTATAAAACGACTTTTTCATCCTTATCTAAAGGCAGTTACGAATAGCAATAACACCCATACTATGTGTCAGATTAGGGTGGATTCATATACGGTGTTGTCAATTTTCTTCTGTAACATTTGAACTTAGTTATCTCTATATTAACAATAAAAATAGAATAAAACGGTATTATAAAAAACAATCAATAAAAACTAACATTTACAGTACAGCGAAATTTGTTACCTTAGTATATTTAAGAATTCATAAAGGAGGGTTAGAATAGGATTTATAGACTGAGAATAATGTGCAAAAAAATGGAGAATAACGAGCAAAATAAATAATGAAGAGAAAAATATGCTTAAATAAAAAAAATAGAGAAAAATGGGGAGCAAAAATAAAAAGAAGAGAGAATAATGGGGAACACAAATATAAAGAATAGAGAATAATGGGGAACAAAAATTTAAAGAATAGAGAATAATGGGGAACACAAATACTTGCTTCTGTGAATGTAAGACCAGAATAAAGCTTCGGACGCGCCAAATTTATAAAGTGTTATTTTCAGTTACAAAAATGGACGGTAAATTATAATGACTTTTAAATGCATAAGCACACAAACCTTCAAAACTAAATGTAAGAAGCGAACTACATCATTTTGAACAATTATTGATGTATATGTTGTTGTTCTATTGATTTCGCAGCATTTACCACTTATGACCCTAATGAAATTTTGGGTAATACATATTCTTGTTTAAGTGATGTTCATATGTAATGGGGTTCGTTTTTATTGAAAAAGCCTTATTTGTGAAATATTAAAACGTTCTGAAGCGTCTAAGAAAACTTTCAAAATGATCTTCTATTTTCATTTTCCTACTTTTTTCATGAATTAAAATATTACTTGAATAGCATTTCCCGAATAGCAAAATTGAGACCATTTAAAAAAAAAAAAATACAATTTTGTACCTGTCCTTAAGCTATTATAACTCATATCATCAAAGATACTAGGCTTATAATTTAATACGACAGACGCACGTTTCGTCTAAATACATCACCAGTGGCGCTCGATTTAAAATGATTGGGAGGTCAAATTCAATTACGAAGGATGAAAAATTTTGTCCTACTTTTTTTTTTAGTTGTAATCTCTGTCCTGCCTTTTTATTTTCATTCTATTCGGTCCTGCATTTTTTTATTAGTTTATCCTGACTTTTTTTTACATAAATTGTCATCCTGCCTTTTTTTTTTTTGCCAAGTTGCTCATCCTGCTTTTTTTTTTACTCAAACTTCTGTCCTGCCTTTTTTTCAAATTTCATCCTAGCCCCCCCCCCCCCCCCCCCCCTAAAAATCAAATGGTAGCTCCCTAAGTGCCCTATATTCACTGATCAGGTCACGGTAACATATCTTTCTCTATAACAGAAAAGACAGAAAAGAACAAATTAGAATCAGCTAATTTGATTAAAAAGCAACTGACCTTATTTAGAATAATAGAACGGCTTGAACCAATGAAACAGCTTCAATCGTTTCCAAGGTCAAATAGGTTATAACAGGACATGTGGCTAATGTACAGAAATTTTAGGTTAATAATGCTAGTTTTGTACACAAGAAGAAGTTAAAGGGTTCCATTTTGGTTGATAAAATGGTGTTAGGTGACACGCAATTTTCTTTTTAGTGAGAAATGCAACGCATATCAGATGAAAATGAACATTATTGGGTGAACTGAGCTCTACCGTCCCACAAATCTTGCGAACTTTGACTGGCACGTTAAAAACTAGCTTGAGGCGGCTGGTGAACAGCTTGTTAAGTTTGGCTAATAAAATCTCGTTTAGCTCAAATGTTTAAAAGCTAGATTCTGTGTTAAAAAGCACACGGACTTTGGCTGGGGAAAGCTGGCAAAGCTCAACCGGCTTGAAAATGGGAAAATATTGGTTGATGAGATTGTGTGAAACTGGCTAAATGATGCAATTAATGTTTGTTTGGTTGAAAGGTTGAGAAAATCTACTGACCGGCGATGTTCCGCAGGCGGATTATTGGCATTATTCTGGGTGGGGGGTGGGGGGTTGGGGGCTGGGATCGGATAAAACTCCGCTTGATTTGACAAAATCCGCTAAAGCTCAGTTGATAAAATCTTATAAACTTGAATTATGAAGCTCGGCTGTTGAGATTCGAGCTATTTGGTAGCTATATAGGGGGACCTTGTTATGTGTTTCTAGCATGTCTTGACGAGCTTTGGTATAAATAGTATCAAAATTAGCTTTAAATGTGTTTCCTTTTCGCCAGCGTTTGTTGAACTTGCATATGGCATAAACAGTACTGTTACACTGATTTTAAACATGTATGAATCATAATAGTTATAAAACAACAAAGTTATTAAAAAAAACCTTTGATTAAACACGTTATATATTTCAATAAGTTCTTTTTTTCATGATGAAAAGCAATTATGCAATCTTTGAGTAAAAACGATAATGATATAAAAGAAAAACAAACTAAATGCTCAAATCAATGATTAATTCGACAAATATTTCCCTCATTGATTTTGTAATAATAAAATGTACATTTTATCTGCAACATGTGTTCATGTTCGATACACATCACGTAAATTAATGGCGAAGTAAACGTACATGTATAGAAAGTAAGTTATTTTTTCATTATTTTGTTTACCAATCATTTTTCAGGGACATGGCTTTAGAAATTTCAGAAATCAAAGCATGATGCATTGTTTTATTATTCCTGGAAAAACATTTTAGCAATTCAGAACGATTAATCTGCATTTGCCTTCAAATGAATTTAAGTTTAAGATCAATTTTCCGATTGCTATTTATGCGTTTTTAATCATTATAGCTAAGTCATTTCGTCTTCTAACACACAGATTTTTCCTTTCTTTAAAACACAAATAGCCGTACTCTCCCTTTGGTTGGGTTGGAAAATCAATCGATTTTTTCAGTACGTGAAAATGGTAAAACAGCTGTCAAAACAACAATAATGTAAGCAGTTTCAAGATTACAAAAAAGATGTAGCAGATATTTTTTATTAATATTATATCCACGTTAAACCCGAATATTTACAGACTTCACTTAAGTTATCATTTACTGTACATAAAACGATAACTAGAATTCATCATAACAGAACGTTTGATGATTTTGTTCCCTTATCTCGCAATCGACCGAGTCCTCAAATGTATAATCCGTCATTCCAGCATCTAAAGAATTCTGGGTAATTTTTTTTAAAAGTTTAGATTAGCTTACGTCATAAACAATCGAAATTCAAATAATCACTTGACAATAGTTTCATTTTGGGGTAAGAACAATGAAAGAATCAAAAGTCCTTTGTACCTATGGACTTAAAAAGACAACAATGGACCAGAATACTCAACTGTAGACTATGGTTAATTACCTAGAAGGAGACACATATATGGAATATTGACTAGAAGTAGGCACAATTATGAACTGTGAGCTTGCATAGGACACAACCATAGACTACGGACTAGATAAGGACAAAACTAAGGACTAGAAGGGGGATACATCTATGGACTATCGACTACAATGAGACACAACTATAGATTAGAATAAGTCAAATCTCTAGACTATGGACTACAATATGACAGAACTATCAGCTATGGAATGGAATACGATATAACTATGTTCTATGGACTTGAATGAGACGATAATGGAATACTAGTATAACGGGACACACGTATGGACTATGGACTTTAATAAGACACAATTATTCACAATGGACAAAAATGAAACGCTTCTGTGGACTATGGACTATCGACTAAAATGAGACACTACTGTGAACAAAGGACTAGAATGAGACACCACTGTGGACTAAGGACTAGAATGAGACACTACTGTGGACTAAAGACTAGAATGAGACACCACTGTGGACTAAGGACTAGAATGAAACACTACTGTGGACTATGGACTATCGACTAAAATGAGACACTACTGTGAACAAAGGACTAGAATGAGACACTACTGTGGACTAAAGACTAGAATGAGACACTACTGTGACTAAGGACTAGAATGAGACACTACTGTGGACTATGAACTAGAATGAGACACTACTGTGGACTAGGGACTAGAATGAGACACTACAGTGGACTAAAGACTAGAATCAGAAACTACTGTGACTAAGGACTAGAATGAGACACTACTGTGGACTATGAACTAGAATGTGACACTACTGTGGACTAAGGACTAGAATGAGACACGACTATGAATTTTGGACTATAACGAGACACAACTTTGGATTATGGACTAGAATGAGTGACAAATATGGAATATGTACTTAAATGAGACACAACCATGGACAATGGACTAGAATGAGATACAGCTATAGGGATTATGGACCAGAATAATCCACTATAAACTATGCATTTATTAGAATTAGACACAACTATAAACTATGGACTAGACTTAGATACAACTAGGGCTATGGACTAGAATGAGGCACGACTGTGGATTAGAACGAGACTCCACTATGGACTATGGGCTTGAATTAGTGCAAACTATGAAATAGAATGAAACACAACTATTGACCAAAGACTTTTTTCTAAAACATTTACAGATCGTAGAAACATTATTGCATTAAACTTGAGTAAGGTGGTGAACTTTTACTGGTATATTTATACTGCTAGTAATACCCCAGCTAATGTCATCTCAACAATGACAGTTCATAGTTACTAATGTTGGCCTGTCTAAAAATAATACTGATCGATACAGATGTCTTTTTCAGGTACTCACAAAAGAATTTTTACATTTTAATTTCATTTTCAGAAAGAAAAAAAGTGAAGAATGGCAGATTACTATCTTGATTCGTAAGTTCTTTCAGATTTGTTCACAATTTTCCTTCTTTTTCAATTTTTGTCTTTTGTGAAGCGTATTGTTAAATCGACGGGTGTCACACGTGTAGCAGGGTCTGCTAACCCTTCTGGAGCACATGAGATCAACCCCTGGTTTTGGTGGGTTTCGTGCTGTACGGTCTTTGGTTTTCTATGTTATGTTTTGTATACTTTTTTTTGTCTTTTGATAATTTTTCGGTTTTTGCCATAGAATTGTGAGTTTGTTTTCGATTTATGAGTTTGCAGACCCTTTGGTATCTTTCGCCTCTCTTTTAAATCACTGTGGTTGTTTTTAATGCTATAAGGTTATAAATTCATTTCTACCCTATATTTCGGACTTTTTGGCAAACAGTTGTTGGGCCTGTTTCCAATATGTACAATATTTATATATTGGAAATATGATACACCCCAATGTTGTCAATTTTAAATGGATGAGTTTCAATGGATAAATACACTAGTCATACTGAACATGTTTAATTACAGGCTATCGGTACGGCAGATGCAATAGTATATGTGTGATTGTTATATTGAAAAAAATGGTTTGCAATCGTGTACAGATTCTTATCTGTGTTACCAATTGTATTTGCCTAACCGATAGCCGGTAAAAAGGTTTGACCGCAATAATTATATCTAGTTTTTGAACATTTGGTCAGGTAATCAAAAAGTGTATGTTCAAAAGCTGTTTACTGTATATATGTTATAGTCGTTGAAAACTACAAATATGCGATGTTGAAAGCAAGATATCATTTAAATGTCGTAAAATATACATATATAATATTAGAAAATTTTCAACTTTTTTGTATGACTCAGGGGCTTAGAAACTTGGGAAGGAGGAGGTTTACCGAGCCTTTTAACACTTTCGTCTCGAATACAAACATTCGATATTTTTCTGACAATGACCTAATATTGTTTTAATACTGCACCTAAAAATTGATACAGTTATATTATGAAAATCTTGACAACGGATAAAACTAATTTTGTATCCCTAAACATACCCAAGATTGTGAAGAAAGTGACGGGATATGAAAACAGCATTGTACGAGATACCCCTTTGTTACTGTTTTTGCTTGATAACAACAGGAAGTGTTTTAACTGCCGAATAAACGATATTTCGACATAATAATCAAGTTAAGTTGAACATTCGAAATCTTATTCCAATATTCCTTTACTATCAAGGCATATTAATAAAGCGCACAAATGAGCGAGTGTCTCCATAAAGGGTAAGCTGCATACATGTTTTACAGTGTATTAAATACCACAGCTTAGAGGATAATAAAAGTGATATCTTTGTGTATACATTGTTTATACTTTGGTGTTGAAATGCTAACGAAATTCATCCTTAAAATATCAATGATACTTGCATGTATATTACTTATATATAAGAATACCAGCCCAAGACGTTCAACTCAATTACTATAATAATAAAAGGGAAGTGTTAACTATCTTGTAAACAATTTTGTCGCAAAAGGCTAAAGACAAGCCGGATCAATTTTATGATCATTTTGGCCAATCGGATATAAAACGCAAACTGATAACAACAACTCGCTTGCACTCAACGGTTACGTTACGTTCATTTTTAACCATGCATTCATTTAATTAATAAATTTGAGGGAAACATTTGATCTTAAACGACGCATATACCTTATTTATTAATCAAGACATACGTTTGAGAAAAATCAGAATTTTGGAAAAACATTTGACTTTTAACGACGCATAGATTTTATTGACGAATCGAACATGTGTTCGTGCAAAATTATCTGATCTTTAATATGTATAAAAGGAACATTTAAAACCTCAGCTGGCTTAAAAATAAGACATTTAAAAGTAATCATACATGTAGTTCCGGTCTTCTGCGATATTCATGCACCAACTCCTCAAATTAGCTTTAAATCTGCTCTCAATTGCCAATTCTGGACTCAATTCGAAAGAGCCAATCAAACTGAATAAAAACATCAAAGTTAAAGAAGATTGTGTCTTTTCTTTATCTTTATTTAACGTCCATTGTCAAATATTAGATAAATATTCAGGACGGGAACAGATTAAATAATCTAGCAATTAGAAAGAGTCTACAATATAGCTCGATTGGTAGGAAATTGGAACAGCCATTAGAAAAGACGTATATTTAAAATTTCGACACAGCCAAATGGGCACTTCCTAGCCATTGGCCAATACAAAGTACAGAAGAAATCAAGATGACCATATTCATTTACCTTATTAAATAAGGAGATACCGTACGGCCTTTAAAAATGAGAAAAACTCATACCGTATAGTCGGCTATAAAAGGCCCGACATGAAAAATATGAAATATTAAATTGAGAAAACTAACGGCATAATTCATAGCAAAAGAATTAGTTTACCCTATAGATGAATGGTTATGAACAATTTCACTATGCAGATTAATTAGAATGTCAGATGTCGGAAAAAGTACAATGAAAATATTTATATTTTTTTGTCCTATTTCAGATGGGAAGACTACAATAACCAGAATATGTTAGTCGTGTTTATTGGTCTAGTTATGATTATTGTACTTTTGGTATACCTATGGAGGTGTTGCAAATGTGACGAAGATACACCGGGGACGACAATAACTCCAGCACGGCAACAAATCCCGTTAGTTCCATGCTATGCCCATGAGATTGAACCAGGTCTTGTAGTGCTGCAAAGTCCGGATGGTGAATATTTCAGGATTTTGCAAGAGTATGATGCAACAAAACTCCCAAAACAACCAACCGCGTCGAACGGATTACCTCAGCCCTTACATTTCGTCCCACAATTTACAAGGGCACATTATCAGACGCATGCACAACCAACTGCACCTGTTAATGAACAATCACATCTTATTGATTTTGGAGCAACTGCAAATCCTCCACCTTACTATACAGCAGGCGTACATCCTTGACTTTAGATGTGATCATAATTAGATTTAAGTGTTTTACAATATTGTTGTTTCTTTCCAATTTGCAAAGGTTCATATAATTGATTATAAAGTACACGTTTAATTTTGTTATGTATACATTAGACACAAAAATAAGTTATGCACTGATATTGCATTACATTGTGGTATTATTACTTATATCTTCCATAACTTATTTGTATTTAATAGTAAATCATACAATGTCGGATTGTATTCTCATCTACATCATGCAATTTTATTTCACGAATAAAAGGTGATGTTGGTTTAATATACCGGTACGTCAATGACGCAGCAACCAAGCGACCCAACATAACCAAACGACATCTAGAGAACCACAATAGACAAATGATTTAGCAATAAAAAAAGATGTATTAACACAGAAGAAATATGATTCTATTAATCTTTAATGTAGTTTTCTGATCATCATTTTCACTGATTTAAGAGAGTAATGGAAACCATGCCATGCATACCAATTTATCCCCTCTCCGTATGGACTGGTTCCCGAAAGATAACGCCCATTCAGGTTAGCACGATGACAATTTAAGTACCACCAGCCTCCGTGGTATATCTTCGCACAATTACCAGAACTCTTGTCGTTGTCTCGATCAAACGTAGTAAACAGCATAGCATCATGAGATGACAACGAGTCTCCTAAAATTAAAATTCATGAACTAATTGATTATAATAAAAAAAAAAAAAAAATGCATGTGGATTTATTTCCAATGAGACAAAAGACCAAACGACAAAATCAATTTCAGGTCACAATGAGCAAATATCATACTGTTTAGTAAATTAAAAAAAAATGTGAAATAATTCAAAGAGAAATACAACAGGCTCATTGTACTATCACAATAAACAAGGAACAGTGATGGCAGACACCAACCAACGACAACAATTTGACTATAGGGTCCTGTTCGTGGACAGGCATATAAAGAAGTGGATGGTTAAATCAAGAAGTTGTAATGCCAATTAATTATGAAGTTGAAGATAATTTGGTATGTGAATACCAAAAATTCACAAAGGTATTCCCACATATGACTATTATTGTTATTTCACTGTTAAGAACAAACTGATTGTAAGAGTCTTTATCTGTAATGAGTTTTATTCATTTTAAATTTTTTATCAGATTTGTGTGTCCCATATATAATAGAAAATCAAATGATATGGGGTATCCATCCATGACACAAAATCAGTACATGCACAGCAAAACAACACACAATAAGAAAAGGAACAGCGTTTTTATTGCTGTTCTTCATCTCATGCATACCTGCATTGCCACTATATCCAAGCACTGTCATCTCATATTCACTTGTCTCGTCACCAACACTAAATAATGAATATTTAGCGTACTTGGTGTGACCTTCAAAGTCTTCCATGTCAATCCTTAATTCATGTCGGTTATGGACGGTTATTTCATGGATTATATCGTTCCCTGACAAAAAATAAATGATATATGAAATAAAAGCAAGTAATGGGTAGAATATACTTGCGCATTTAAAAATAGTGTTGTTATTAAAAAAAAAATCACTGCGAAATACTCCATGTGTGTTGATACGGCATAAATCAATCAATCAGACATAGGGGTCGTACATTCCGTCGTCAACATTAAGGTTCAGTTTGTGGTTACATATTTTGTAGACATCAATAACTGACTGTAGACACTATATCCGCGATAATACCGTTTCATTTTTTACTATACGTATCTATATTAAATTCTAGAATACTCTAATTAATTGCAGCAGACTTATGTGTGATCGCAAGGTTGGTCGACTGAACAAAGAGACTTAGCAGACGTAACTGACGTAAACATGCGTTCGTTTTAATCTGTTATTACTAGCTTGGTCCTCTCTAATCTCGGTGGTCCACTTCCTATATACAAGGGGATAGGACGTGCCGCTGGAATATGTCATATTTTCCAGCTTGAAAATATGTAAATAGGTGGGGAATTCTATCAGAAATATATGATAAGGTCAATACAGATCCCATTACTTGTTATATGAGAAGCCCTATATTTTTTTCACAGCCGAAAGTCCCGCCGATAAACATTACATAAGGAATCTGAGCCTCAGATCTGAACTCCGAGCAAAGGGGATATTTTACCGGCTGTTTTTTTATCCACAAATTTTCCCTCTCTTGACACTTTGGTATTCCACTTTTCCAACACACCACACGAAACCCAAAAAATATGGGAAAAGGTTACATTTTTTAACTACGCAATATATGAAAAGGTATACATTTTTAGAATCTAAAAGGGTGGGGGTAACAGAACCAAAGCGGCACCACCTATCAGTTAAGTATTGAAGTGCCCCCCTTTGTACGTATCCCAATTCTGTTCAAAGTTCACCGATCCGTTTAAACGTCTTTGTATAACCTAACAAAGTAAAAAGGTTATTTATGTTGGCGGTAATATACACAAACAGTCTGTTAAGTCTAGTTAATCATAGAACATATAGGCAACGGTGTCAGGATAGGTGCGGATCCAGGATTTTGAAAAGGGGGCCTGGCAAGCCAACGTTTGGAATGAAACTTTTATAATGTCTATGCGTTTATCATATATGAAGCTCAATAAGAGGGAAGCCCCCCCCCCCCCCCCCCCCCCCCTACCCCCCTTTAAACCCGCTGTTGCAAGTTGGTTTATATAATTTATACTGAACGAATGTATCCGGATAGAAAAGCGATGGAACAAATTTTAAATTTGAGTTATCTCCCGTTTATCGAAAGAAATCACGAGTCTAAATTCAGACTGAAGTATTACATTGATCTCATTGACAGGTCCTGTCAATATAATACTTCCATAGTCAAATCTTTGCTGAAGGAATGTCAAAATGCATATCAGTAGAGTACAAAAGTACACCCGGTTCTTTGTATTTATTTATGCAGAAAACAAGGAAAATATCAAAATTTTCAGACTATAGAAGGCTTAATTTTTAGCTATAAGTTTAAATCTATCTGATGGCAGATCAACGTATCGAGTTTTTCTAATTTGTTTTTGTTTTATATATAGGTTATCTTTTTAAATCGGATCTTCTTCAAGACAAATCAAGAATATAAATTTCCGTAACTGCATTGGTTAGGTAAGAAAGACACAATTGGTGCATATTTTACAAATAAAAGGCCATTGATATACAAATGACAACTAATTTGGGGTGATGATTTAAACTATATGTAGCTTCGTTTCTATTGAGTACGTCAATCTTTACATTTTATTCTATTGTTGTTTTTTTGTGTTTTTTATTTTCTGTTCTTTATTTTATATGCTGGCTATTTTTTTGTGTATTGCATTAGTGGGATTTTATTTTTGATTTAATTATCAATACAACAGGCTTTTTTATTTTATTTTCTGTTCTTTATTTTACATGCTGGTTAGTTTTTTGTGTATTGCATTAGTGGGATTATTTTGGATTTAATTATCAATACAACCGGCTTTTTTATTTTATTTTCTGTTCTTTATTTTACATGCTGGTTAGTTTTTTGTGTCTTGCATTAGTGGGATTATTTTGGATTTAATTATCAATACAACCGGCTTTTTTATTTTATTTTCTGTTCTTTATTTTATATGCTGGCTATTTTTTTGTGTATTGCATTAATGGGATTTTATTTTGGATTTAATTATCAATACAACGGGCTTTTTTATTTTCTTTTCTGTTCTTTATTTTATATGCTGGCTATTTTTTTGTGTATTGCATTAGTGGGATTTTATTTTGGATTTAATTATCAATACAACGGGATTTTTTATTTTATTTTCTGTTCTTTTTTTTAAATGCTGGTTAGTTTTTTGTGTATTGCATTAGTGGGATTTTATTTTGGATTTAATTATCAATACAACGGGCTTTTTTATTTTATTTTCTTCCTAATGATAAATAGATAAATAGAAGTTTACCGTCCATTTTCCATTTTCGGTATGCATATCACAAAAGACAGAAACAGATGATATTCCATCTGGGTATATCTTATACACGCCATTAGGATGCTGTCCTTGTATATCAGAACATTCTCTTGGAAAAGTGGACCCTGTTTTGAAAAAAAATATACATAAGCAATCAAAATTCAGCAATTAAAAAAGTCTTCCTATACTTTGTAAATATATATATAATGCTATAAAAGTTGTAGTGTATGGATAATTTAATAAAAACAAAATCTATAAAAAGAACTTTACCAAAAGTATGTCAAACGAAAATATAACAACCAAGATTATTTCTGAATGATTTTGTTTTTCGTAAAACGTATCTTTATCTTTATACTTCCCACTTTCTACTATCAACGAGTATTATAATGCAAACCCTTACTCACAATTCATACCTATCAGAGACATTCACACATGTTTACCAATCCCAGTTTTTACACAGGTTCATGTGTGACAAACTTAAATTGTCGGTGTTTGTACTATCTACATTATGTTAAAAGGTCATAACAGTCCTTCCTGTGTTGTCGCTAATGTGTCAATTGGATTTTATTTTCACTTTAGCATACAACTATATCAGCTTGCATTTTGTGATGCAGAATATTCATCTCTATCCTGTCTTGTGTAAAGTTATTTATTTTCAGGTTTTACTAAGCTAGGATATTCATTTTCAAAATCCTCCTCCGCCTCAAAAACAAAAGTTCTTAAAATATTAAAACATTCTACGCTTAGCTTTGCGTATGAGTATTGAAGCCAGAGATTTAGTATAACTGACAAATTTACAAACTCAAGCTTAATCCATCTGGGAATTAAAAAAATAACAAGTGCTGAAGCTTTTACCAATAACATGATGATCGCTTTCACATTTCAAACCAATGTTACAAGTTGTTGTATCGTTACAACACGATGTACAAGACACGTGGTGTCCTTCACTTCGACGTCCAAATATTCCACCAATGCTGTGTCTACAAAACTGAAAAAGGAAGGATAAATAAACGACCATGGATTGAAATAATAATAGGTTCGTTGGCGTTAAGAGTCCAAACGCATTTAGGCAAGGTATACGTAATTGGGCGATATTTTCGTTTTTGATGAAATTTTGTATGAATTTAGAAGTGGTAGAACTGCATCGGAATATAAAAAATTGATATGTGTAAATTTTATACTACGCATATTTTTCGACGCCTTCATTCTATACTAGCAATTACATTTTATATTTTAATTGCCTCTATCTCTTGAAGTATAAATTCTTTATATAACATTTTTTCGATAGTTGGATGCAGTTCAACTAGTTCAAGATGTGTACAATTTTCATCAAAATTTGAAATATCAACTAATTACGTATACTTTGCCTTAATTAAGTGAACAAGTGATTATAAAAATTGCAATGTCAAATACTAAGCTGAGAATGACTTTTATATCTGTTAAAATTATTATATATATTTTGAAAATACCTGCTCATATGCACATCCTAAATCATATAACACTGAACCAGATTCTGTGGTGTGTT